GGGGATGAAGCAAACGGATCAGGCACCTTTTGCCAAAAGTGCAAGAAAGGGACTAAGTGAAGAAAATCTGTTAACACCAAAGGAAGTCTTCCCCCCAGCAAGCAGGCAGAATTGCTTTGCTGGATTATTATTCAATCTTCAAAAGCCTTAAAACGGTGGGGTTAGTTGAGGGGTTCACAAAGCAGATTCAACCAAGTAGGTGTTCTGATCAAACCAAGTTGACCGTGCAAATCAGGCTGAAGTGGAGCCGAAAGAACCTGATGTGGAGTCGCTGCGCCGCGAGGTCATTCGATTAGCGATCCATGTCGTTCTTTTTCACGTGTGCTATGAACCGTAAGGCTCGGGACACACTCCTCAAAGCGGCTCGCGATGGTCGATTGGCATCAGCCTTCAGCGAGATGCGGAAGGCAGCAGAAGTTAGCAGCGAGAAATGTGTGGCTAAGGGAGCTGTCTGTCATTTTGAGGGAAAGATGAACACTACTCAGTACTTGGCCAAAGTTGCAAGCTTTGCAGTGCAGATATGCTAGGGATGAAGGACAGTCATGTGAGAAGTTTTGGCTGGCAGAAGGGTTGAAATTGAAACGACAAGATTGTTCAAGATCAAGAAAGTACAACTCTTTTCTCAAAGATTTCTGGAGAGCATTTTGCAGTAATGAGGTGAAGGTTTGGTTGGGGATGAAGCAAACGGATCAAGCACTTTTTGCCAAAAGTGCAAGAAAGGGACTAAGTGAAGAAAATCTGTTAACACCAAAGGAAGTCTTCCCCCCAGCAAGCAGGCAGAATTGCTTTGTTGGATTCTTATTCAATTTTCAAAAGCCTTAAAACGGTGGGGTTAGTTGAGGGGTTCACAAGGCAGATTCAACCAAGTAGGTGTTCTGATCGAACCAAGTTGACTGTGCAAATCAGGCTGAAGTGGAGCCGAAAGAACCTGATGTGGAGTCGCTGCGCCGCGAGGTCATTCGATTAGCGATCCATGTCGTTTTTTTTCACGTGTGCTATGAACCGTAAGGCTCGGGATACACTCCTCAAAGCGGCTCGCGATGGTCGATTGGCATCAGCCTTCAGCGAGACGCGGAAGGCTTGCCTGGCTTGGGGTTGCTTTTTTGTTACTAGTAGTAAGAATGCTCCTAGTAGCGATGCCAGGAGCCCCTAGTAGCTTCTTGTTTCTAGTACGGCCAGGGGCCCCTAGTAGCGTCCTTGCTCGTAGTATCATTTTTATGTCAACCTCGGTCCAGGTGTTTGACCAGGTGCATCAATTCTTTTTGTGCCACTGTGTATTCGGGCTGGTACGCGGCTGGGTCCACCCGCACTGGGAGAAATGGTTGTGGTGACGTTGCGGTATCTGACGGTATCTGTGGCATTATAGTATCGTTGCAAGCACTGGTGGTGGCTATATTCAAACTGCTTTTCAACAGATGTTCTGAGTGCTATAAAAAAATACATAGAATTCCATCACCCCGGTTCTACCTGGCTCATACGACCCCCTAGCCAGCTAGAGCACCATGTGGTGTTGGTTAATGATGCCGGTTTTACCTGGCTATTTAACCAGGCTAGCGCCTGGCAGCCGCGGACCCCCAGGGAAGTGGATGGCCTAGGTTTAATGGGTTAAGAGTTTTTTCGAAAAATCGGGGAACCCAAAAAACAACACGGAACCCCTAGAGACATGATCTGTCACTGCATCACCAAAGTAGGCAGAAGAGAGCACGGCAAATGGTGAAAGCAAGGCCCCTGACAGCAAACATGGAGCGCACACACACAAACCTTAAGCCCCAGTGTTGCCCTTGAAAACTCATGCGCAAAGTGCAGGACAGGAAATCCAAAAGCATAGAGACAGTGGGCCAGTGGCCTAATGGTTAAGGCGTTGGGCCTCTCCTGAGGCATGGAAGAAGCTCGAGCCTCCTTCCCTCAGGATTGGCCCAAGGATTGGGTGGTTCGAATCCCTCCTGGTCCATTCTCATTTTGGCTCATATTTTTCTTTCCTTCACCACCCTCTTCCTGTCCTTTATGATTTCTTTCTGGTGCTTCTCCTCTTTCTTTGCTCTTTACGTTTCTTGCCTATCCCTGGCACGCCTGGTGCCTTTCCCCGCCCTTTGCCTGTGGTATGCGGCGTCGTGTTGGGCAATGATCTGCGGGGGTGCTGTTTGTTTTCTCCTCTTTCTTTGCTCTTTATGTTTCTTGCCTATCTCTGGCACGCCTGGTGCCTTTCACACGTGGAAGCGATCATGGTGCAGTTGAGTCAACGGTATGGGAGTGTCGCTGTCCGCGCTGAGAGTTGCGTAACAGCGACACCCACATCAGAGAGCCTTCCCAGGCCATTCGGTTCAATATGTAGGCGTATGGACATTGCTTCTGTCTGCCAGCCAGAGTATTGCAGCAGCGAAGCTTTGAGTAAACCATTTGCAGGGTGTTGCCCATGTGTCTGCCAGCCAGGGCACTGCGACAGCGAAGTCTGGAGTGAGGCATTTTGTTTGTGTGCGAGTGTCTTGCCTGAACCTTGCAGCAGAGCTGTAGGCGTGGGAGAACCAGGTTCGTGTTCCCAAAGGTGGAGCGGGCCGGGGTCGGCGCAAAGTAGGCAGAAGAGAGCACGGCAAATGGGTTAGCATTCTTCTTTGAAAATCTGGGAACCCAAAAGCCTCCACCGGCACACTTGCAGAATGCGAGCACAGCACTAGAAAAGAGCAGAAAAAGCTTGCACGTGCGGAGCGCAAGAGGAGAAACTCCTAGAAAAAACCATCGAAAACACCTTAGAAAAAAGAGAGGAACATCTCAGGAAACCACAGAACTTCCCAGAAAAACCATAGAAAATCCCGGAAAAGCCATCGAAAAAGGCATGAGTAAATCTTACAAAAAACTTTGAAAATCCTAGAAATCCAGCGGAAAACGTTACAAAATCTAGGAAAAACCAAGGGCACTGGCAGGGACCAGGCCGCAACCAGGCCGGGATTCGAGCCCGGGACCATTTAGGGACCGTGCTTATTTTCCCCCGTGGGTGGAGAGATTCTTGGCTAACTTCGCGACCTTTTCGTCACTTAAGCCAAGCTCCGGAGGGGTAGGGGAGGTATAGCTTTAGCCTTTACTTATATGATTAGCCTTAGCCTTATTCGTTCCCGGTCTTTTTGTCAACAGTCACGCCGGGGTCGGCGGATTCTTGACCATATCCATATCTTTAAAAAACCAACGTTCTTTTAACTTTTTCAAGAACGCCTCAAACATTTGCTCCAAAACCTTCATCAAATGCTGATATTTACGACGTTTTTTTTGCGCTCGACTCTCAACAACTTTCAAACACTCAGGATTCTTGGCCGATAAAGGTCCCCCCCAGTTAAAGTTGAAATGTTGCGATTGACTATGCCACCCGGATACACACGCCACAGCACCTTCGGTGCGAGCGGATTTGAGAGACACCATGTGCACGTGATGGGTTTGTTTGGAACTTATCTTCTTCAGAACGTTGTGGCGTTTGTGTTGCTTGTCGCAGTACATGGACCGCACATTTTTCTGCCCGTGCACACTGCGACTGTGATTGTGTTTGCACACAGTCTTTCTAATGTGTAGTGTACGCTGCATACACCTCTCTACATTGAGTGCTGTGTGGATAGCTCCTTTAATGCATATTGCATGATATGCAAGGCTTTTGTGCAGTGTGTGCACAGTGGTCTTGGCATTGCAACATGTTAAACAAAGCTTGTTTGCAATGCTTTTGTGGACCGTTGTTTCTGCCCTGGTTTAAATTGTGAGTACATATTGTCAATGCAATTTACCACTACATATGTATGCCCTTTCTAGTTTGTGAAGGGCAATGTCTGAACTCAACCACCAGTTGTGATTTGAACCACTTGCGATTTGAGCCCGGAGTTTAGAGGACAATGATTCAGCAACATTTGTTTGGCAAAGCTCTGTGTGTGTGCGCACTGTTGCATCCAATGTAATCTTGCACCCTTGCACTTGCCTTGCGTTCTCAAGCGCAGTCCATGCCGAGTGGTTCTGCAATACATTTTTTTCAACTTGGACGCAGCGTGCACACTGTAGTGTCTATATAACCTTCATAGGTTTTGGATACTCTTCTCCCAATGCGTTCAGTGTACTCTACTCTCTCCAGCCTACAGTGTTGCCTAGAAGGCTTCTGCAATGGAGTGTGTGCACTGGCACTTTGGTGTACTGCTGTGAAGTTGTTCAGGTCACTAGTTACCAGGTCTTGAAGCAAAGCAACATGATGTTTCACAAGCAGTGAAGCGAAGCACTGGGGATTGACAACTCAAGAATGCTAAGGCTCATTAAGGTTACATTTGTTGATTGCTAGGCTGATATTCAATTAACAGTTGCAACACGTGTGTTTTCTCTATTTCAATCCTTTCCTTGTCGGCCTATAGGCGTACCTATTTTTAGATACTAAAGGCTCCCCAAGGTGTGGAAAGAAATACCAAACAAGAGGTTGGACCTGTTTTTTGACACTGGAGCACCTCCAAACAGGATTTGATTCTGGAGGGCGGGCATAGTAAATCGAGGAATGTTCGATCACAGGGTGTGGCTCGACCAGTGCGTTTTCATTGCGAAATGAGGGAACGACATAATTGGTAGGACGGAGGAGTGGGAGGAGTGGAAGGATTGAAAGGGGTACTATAGTGGGACTTGTGGCGATGATAGCAGTGGCATTTGCAGAAGTAGTGATGGGCAGGGGTAGTCAGCAGAAAAGAAACGGGGAGCAAACGCATAGAATAACAAGAATAAAGGTCCAAAGAGCTTTTAGACCCTTCTGCAGAGCTTCAAAATCCCCCGGAAGCTTCAGAGCGTTTGCCTTTGTCGAAGGAGCAGACAAAACAACAAGATCTGGAAGTCATTCGAGAAAAGGCATTGCCGCGAGGGTTGTTCAAGGGTTTTCATTCGTTTTGGATGCCAAAAAGCTGAAAGGCACGATGTGCTTTGCTCAATACTTTGGAGTCCGGACAATTTCAGAAGGCAATGGAGGACGGGCTCTCGAGTTGAAGATTTCCTTCAATGAATGAACACGCAGAGACGCATGTGTCATTGAGGAGATTGCAGAAAGCCGGAAGGCATGACGATCCATTGCGTCCTTGTTACTAGTAGCGATGGCCTCCCCCTAGTAGTGTCCTTGTTACTAGTGCTTGGGCGATGAAATCACAGCAATGCGATTCTTTGCACAGCTTTTACTGCGAAGTGGACTGAAGGCAGCTGAAATTCAGGCAGATCCAGTCCCGTCCTTGCCCACTTCTCAGTTATTGGCCACAGCCTTTCACTAGGAGCAAAGGGCATCGCTACTAGGAGCAAGGACGCTACTAGGGGCTCCTGGCATCGCTACTAGGAGCAAAGGAAGCTACTAGGAGCAGAGGTCTCAAGGTTCAGAAGGAAGTGCTGTGCCACTTCCTCCAAGCAGAGAGTGGACTGCAGACTTTTGGAGGGCTACTTCAGACAATATATATATATATACACAGAGATTTTTGAAGTTGTTCACCAGTTCTCTGGAGGCCTTTGTCCTCAAAGATGTACCGAGCTCTGTGAATCTCAAACCAATCCGAGAGTATAGTTCTCTTATTGTTGAAAGCTGCAAAAGGCCTGGCCGTGCCAAGCGGCGCGTGATTGGAGCTGTTGTTCGAGCACCATCGGAATCTGTTCCTGTTCAGATCTCAAAAAGTGGAGGGATGAAGTGAGAAGAGTGAAACTGGTCACAAACTATATACACATATACAACTTAAAATCTGAGCGCATCAACCTCAGCGCATGAGTCCAGAGCATTGCAACTTCCTAAAACATTCGAGGTGGACCCTTCTCCGCCGGATGCATCTCCAACGTAGACAGCTTGGTGCGAAGATGCACTTAACGCCCTTAGCTGCCTTGGAGCGCAGTTTCATCAAGAAAGCCAGAACTGGAGAGTCAGGAAATAGAGAGACTGGAGATCGAGGGATCATTCAGACTAGTAACAAGTGCCTTACTAGTAACAAGAAGCTAGCAGAAACAAGTGCCACGCTAGTAGAAACAAGAAGCTATTAGTTGTGTCTTGTTGCGAGGGCTAGTTCAGACGAGGTAGAAGGCAGGGGGCTTGAGCTGAGGTCGCAGCTTGCTTGGTTCATGGCAGGGGGCACGGAGAAGTGAGAAGTCTAGGAGCAAAGGGCATCGCTTCTAGTAACAAGTGCCTTACTGGTAGTAACAAGAAGCTACTAGGGGCTCCTGGCCTTACTACTAGTAACAAGAAGCTACTAGGAGCAAAGGGCATCGCTACTAGGACCTAGGAGCAAGAAGCTACTAGTAGCTCCTGGCATTACTACTGGGAGCAAGGACGCTGCTGCCTTAGACCAAGGCAAACTTGCTTGTGAGCTGTCTGAGGCTGGCCCTCCTTCGAATGGTCTTCGGCAAAAGGACACTGTGAGATGAACTCATCAAACATGTCAACCAGATCAATGTAGCATCACTTGCAACCCAGGGCCACTTTGTTGCTTCGCTTCACTTCCCTGCAACCCAAAGCATTGGTCTCTGCATGCCATCTTGTATGATGGGCTTCCAGATTTGATTTTCTCTGCAGGATTTTGCAGCATTCAACATCGACAATCGGTTCGATGCAACCGAACCCCGCGGCCAGTGCCTTGCGAACCAAGAAATTGAATGATATAGAAAGTGGCCATTTGTGCATTATTCTTAGCAGAAGGATTGTGACAGATGGTCTATTCTCATGCCTTGTAGGCCTTACTCGCAAGTCCAGCATCACATCAATGCCGCGGAGCAAAGACTTCTTTTCGTTTGGCCTTTTCGTTTCGCTCCTCTATTCTTTTTGTGAGACTTTAGCATCAGATCAAGCCGCCTCGCTCCGAGGTTTGAAGCGCTAGGCTCTGCGGATTTGGTTCAAATGAATGCCAAAGAAAAAGTGCCAAGCCCAAGCATGACGTTGTGACACCTACGCGGTTGGTAGAGTGTAAGTTGGACAGTCGTGGACACTGCTCTCGCGCACTCTCCACATCTTAAGGTGCCGTCGAGGCTCGTTTCTGCGCAGAAGGGAACGGGAACAAGACTCTTAAGGGAGCGCCGTCGCAGATGTAGCAATGCTTAAAAAGGACACCGAAAGGTCCTCTGGAACGAGAAAAGAAAGGCAAGAAGGAAGGGCGAATATAGATAAAGAAAAAAGACAAGCTTTGTGTGTGTATCAGTAGGGGGTAGTTGTGATGTCCATTGGACAATTGATGTCTAAAGGCCTGTAGACAAGACAGATAAAGAAAGCAGAAAGTAGAGGAAGGCATTCTGTTGTCTGGTAAGATGTAGTGATGTTGATTCCCAGTTAATTTCCTTTCGAGAAGAGACATATCGAGAGACACCAAGAGGGAAGTGGCATAATTTCAGACGGAGGCTCTACAGCTTCAAGCCTTCTACTCCAGGCTGGGACGTTGTCACACGATAGACTATAATAAATTTGTTTCTATTTGTTACTACCTTGTGTAAAGAGGCTTTACAATGTTAACTTGTGTAACAATTGTTGTACACTTTAGTGTATGTTTTTACCCAAAGCACCTGCGAATGGTTCTGCTTCAAGAACGTCTACCAATCTCAACTGTCTAGCTATCATCTTTATCATCATAGAAATCACATTCAGGTTCATTTTCTTGGTGATTTATCATCAGCAACATCATCATTATTAACATCATCATTATTAACATCATCTCACTATCAGCATCCTCACCATGATCATCATCATCATCATCATCATCATCATCATCATCATCACCTTCCTTTCCATACGCTCATCGAGTGATGACTGCGTGGATCATTTTGATCCGTCTGGGCCCCGTAAAACCAGCCAGCAAGCTAGTGGCCGAAGGTCCTATTCAGCAACCGTGCCAGTGTATCCCTGGCACGGATCGGTTGGCTGGATCTCAAGGCCAAATGCAAAACTCCAAACTGGCGCATGGACACGTGTGGTCCTCAGTCAGGTCGGCACACCAGCGCGTGGGGTGAGCCTTCGTGATGAAGCTCACGGCGCACTTCTCAGCCAGTGGAAAAGAGGCCTCCCACAAAGCCCTGTGAGCCACGCATAGACCAGGATGGTCCACTAGGATGCCAGTGTCCAGGCAGTCCAAAGCAGGGAGCCACTTGGAGTGCCAGTCATCGTTGATGGAGGGGTCGTGGATGATGTGGTTCATCTTCTCCTCGTCCGTCAGGATTGGGGATTCCTCAGCCAACAAGGAAACCGACTCTGCCCCGCATGGGGCATACAGTTGAGCCACACGAGACAACAGTTCTCCTGAACCACAAGGGGCACCTTTGTGAACTTCACCGGCGCATTGCCATCGTCATAGATCCACCAGAAGCCACCCTCGAAGATGGCAGTGCAGTAGTGACCACTTGTGGGCTCCGAGGGCAGGTGGTAGGAGGCCGCTGTGACCTGGTAGGGAATGTGGTCAATCCCCAGCTTGGTGTCCACGAAAAAAGGGATCCATACCTTAGAATATGAAGAGAGGCGAGTGTGGCTCTTCCTACCACTCGAGTCAAAGCGGTCAATGTGGAGACATGTGACATCTGCTGGCTCGGTCAAACCATGTAGACCGAAAGATGCCATGCACCCTTGCAAGTCAATGGGCAGCAACGTGCTTTTTTTGTTCACCGCAGATGTACAGGTGCAAGGGGCACCTGGGTGCGCTTTCATCCACCACTCGGATGTCTCCGTCTTCCTCCAGCCGCGATTCCCAACAACAGCTGAGAAAATTGGGGTTCAGCTGTTGAAGAAGATGGTGAGCAAAATCAGTCACATCATGTTGGCGAAAGGGCTCCAGCCAGTTCGATGAGAAGGTGGTCCATTGCCCATCAGACCACAAAAGAAGTGGTTCAGCCCCTCGTGACACATCTGCAATTTTCCCAAAGACCCCAGGAAAGTTGGACCATGCGTCCTCACTCAGGCCATCTGCCTCTCGCGCACTCCAGACCAGGCCAGTGACAACTGAGTTCATGTAGCAAGCTGCCGCTGGGTTCAGAAGCGGTCCAAAGACTTGAATGGCCTAGCTGATGCCAGAGTTCCCGCATCTCGGAGGACCTTCTGGATCTGCTGTGTTGGGCGTAGAGCCCCCAAAGCGCTTGATCAGTTGGTTGTGCCGTAGGAGAGTGAGCGTCCTGGTCATGGGTCTGTGTGGCCTGACTGGTTGTCAGTGGAGCGTCCTCTTGAGCTTCCAGGACCTGCTTGTTGTGGTTCCATCTCATCCTCGGAAAGACAAAGGCATCGGTCTTGTCCTGCTCGAACTGCAGGAATCCCAGGCGTAGCCACGCTTGGATCAAGGGGTCTGAGGAGGCCGTGGATTGAAGCTTCTGGTCCCCTTCAGCAGTTCCTCCAGCAGGGATTTCAGAACCAGGATCCTCAATGGGTGCGTTCTCTCCGGTGGCGTCCTTATGATCACTAATTGCTCTTGAGGCGGGGGGAGGCCGGGGCGATGCTCATGAAACGTGACCCCCTGCGGGAATCTTGCGTGTCGGATGCGCGAAACTGTGGCAATATGCGCCCAGGGAACCCTCTGCGGAGATCGGGCATGCCAAGTGCTCAAACATGAGGCGAAGTGCGAATGCTGCGTTGCACGGGTGAACCCTCTGTGGAGATCGGCGTGTCGAGCATTCAAATTAAATGCGAATACGGTTGTCCTTGGGACACCCCTCTGCGAATATCGTGCGTGTTAAGCGCTCAAACGTGAGGTGACGTGCAAATTTTGCTTCCAAAGTGTGTAACTGTCGTCAAAAACGCAGGTGGAGGTGGCCACTGTGCAACGGTCGTCGAAAACGACGGTGGAGGTTGCCAAAGTGTGTGACTGTCTTCGAAAACGACTATGGAGGTTGCCAAAGCGTGTGTATATAACTGTCGTCGAAAACAAGGGTGGAGGCTGCCAAAGTGTGTAACTGTCGTCGAAAACGAAGGTGGAGGTTGCCAAAGTGTGTAACAGTCGTCGAAATGAGAACGTGGTGCACGAGGCTTGGTGTTACATTGTAGCATCTAGTCATCTAGTCTGTGGCACGCCGTGTGGGCAAATTACGTGTGTGATGTCGCTGTGCCATGCGGTTTTGCGCAGCCTCGGTGGAAAGTGCGTTTGCGTGAGTCCGTGCCATCGAGGGAAGGAACTGGTGTAGATTCGGCGTGTCGCTGGGGAACGGGATGATTGGCGGTGTCCACTAGGCTTGGTATTAAATCCTCATCACTGTCATCACCACCACCATCATCATCAGCATCATCCTCATCATTTTATATCAACATCATCTTCAACCTTCATCCTCATCGCTACCTTCTGTCATCTCCTGTTGTGCCTTCGGGCCACCCTGTCGTCGTCTAGGTTTTTTAAAGGCACGGTCCTGGACTGCAGGGATGAGTCACACAAATGACATAATTCTTGCCAATGACAGACAGAATGTTTTCCTTTTTGCACGCTGCAGGAGATCTGTGCAAAGCCCGAGGTCTTGCAAAGCCCGGCATGACTAGCTGGGATCACAGCTTCTATTCTCTATTGGCGCTTGATGCGCTTTGAAGTGATTCGTTTCCTCGTTGTAAGTTGTAAACTTCTGTGCTTGTTTCTCAGGCTCTGCATCTGCCATGGCTTTGGATTTGGGATTGGACTTGGCTTCAAAGGACCCATCGACATTCCAGGCTTCCATTCCAAATATCTTATCATATTTTGAGACGCCAAAATCCCTTCCACGAGGCAGTTGTTTGAACGTGGGAAGTGAATCGGAAGACAATCCTGGATATCCCGACGGACACGACAATCCTGCATTTGCTGAAGAACCTCGCCTGCAGAACTCTTCAGGACCGCATTGGGACCCCATCCATGGGTACTCGGTGCTCTTCGGCGCAGGCCTCGAATGAGATGCGTGAAAGGATGTGAATGAGATGCCTCGAAACTTTATTGGCTTTTGAGTGAGTCAACGATACCACAGTGCAAACTGAGGTTGGTTCTTTGCGCTCTCTCAAGGCAAACAAGGCATGCAGAGAGCTTGAGACCTTGCGGTGTTTGTTGAAGTACATGCCAGGCAAAACAACTTCCCTTTCTGGGAAAGCCGCAAAAGCTCGATGAGCGTGGAAGTGCGATTGACTGGTCCGTTAACCATGTGCAGTCAGTCATGTCGGCTACTCAGAGGATTCTTTCGACAGTGTCGCGTTATTTCTCGAGAGTTCCAATTCAATCAACCGCAGGAAAAAGACTCATTCATGGAGCACCATCAGCGCAGCTTCGGCGTTCTAGCTGCCTCCTCAGCGAAGAGTTTTTTTGTGATTCTCTTTGAGTTGGAGATGAACATTGAAATGGTCACAAGTTGTCCAAGGTGGTGTGTGTGCTCCCTTTTTTGCTGGCCATGCTGCCTTGGTTTTGGTCACCAAATCGTGAGCTTGAAGGCTTGAAGTGTGCCAGGCAGTGAGCTGGTGGCGCATTATGTGGGGGCCTAATAGCAAACTATATTTTTTACAATTCTTCCTTTTCTTTGTTAGTTATAATAGCGCTGATTCACCTACAAATTCTTTGTACCCGTTGCTCTCAGGTCCTGCCCAAGGCCGACATGGATCGACCGCCGGCCCTGTCAACCACTGAGTTTTGCTCAGAGTTGTGGTGTGGACAGCTGCATCCAACATTCAAAGGATGTAAGGTGTGACAGATACTTCTTAGCAGTTTGAGGCATTTTCAGATTTTGACACATGACGGAATGTTTGGGCTCAAATGCCAATGCCTGCGGATGTTTGCCGGGTGCAAGATACTTGGCAGCCCTAGAATGCTGTCCACACCTTGAAGGTTGTGCTTTGCTGTGCCTTGCTCAGGACCTGCAAACCTTGGGAACATGGCGATGCTTGGTGCTACGTCATCAACTTTTTTCTTTTTTAACATTATTTTCGGCATCATGCGGCTTTTGCATTTTTTCTCTTACTACTAGGAACAAGGACGCTACTAGGGGTTCCTGGCCGTACTACTAGGAGCAAGTAGCTACTAGGAACAAGAAGCTACATGTTGCTTCGCACTTAGCCGCGACTCTAAGGACCGATGCTAAAGATGGTCTGTCCGATGAGTCGAAGGGAGTCACTCAGGGTGCCGTGGATCGCTGCCGATTGAGTTTTGCTCCAAATGGATTAAATGGACCAAAAAGGAGTAGAAAAACCGGAGATCACTGAGATCAATACCAAAAAGCGTACTCAGTATTGGGTCAGTTTCCTGCTTGCAGGGGAAGTGATTCGAGACTATGAGCCAGCTCATGGTGCGAATCATGGCAGAATAAGCTGGTCTTGGTAGCTTTTGGTGGCCATTATGTGGTTTGGTCTCTATGTGTTTTCTTTTTGTCCCGAGGAAGTGGCGGTTTGGTCGACCGGATTATGTGCCTTGGAAAAGCAACACCTAGTAGCTTTAATAGCGTCCTTGCTCCTAGTAGTAAGGCCAGGATCCCCTAGTAGCTTCTTTGCTCCTAATTGCGAGTGGGCAGACTGGGTCGTTCTTGTTTGTGTAGGCAACCGTGAACAAGTTGTACTTCGAGCAGCGTGTCATGAACCACGCCGAAGGATCCCTCGAGGCTTTGATTCAAAAGAGTCTCGGCTGAGTAAGAGCTTGGGTGAAGAAAAGGCATTGGGCAGAATCACTTTGCAATTACTTTTGTAGTCTTGTGCATTGTTTTGATGAAGATTTCAGGTTGATGAAGAATTGGGATGCTCTTCCCTCAGCTTACTTTCAGCTTGCTTTCAACTTGCAGCTTTACCGGGCACACTCTGAACCACCGCTTTAACGTTTTGACGCGGTCGAGGTGGAGAGTCGACATATTGCCAGCACACATCACTGGCATACCATGGACGTTAGCAAGTTCAAGGCACCAGTAGCACCATGGTTTCTTGCCACCTCGTGCCACCTCGTGCCACCTCGTGCCACCTCGTGCCACCTCGTGCCACCTCGTGCCACCATGCTTTCGGTTGTTGTTTCTGTTCAAGATGTTAGGACTTAGCAAGTGCCAGGTTTTGGTTCATTGATTCACTGTGAGTTGGGGAAGCTATTTTTATTCGTAGAAGTTGCGAAGGCAACGTACAGTTTGAAGGCAGCAATCAATGGTGGCTGCCCCTTCAATGCGCAGCTCCTGTCAGACATGAGCCACGCAAATGTGCTGACGCAAGCTCAGTAGCCAGCGCCGTTTTTGATATTGGAGGTCAAGGCACATCCTTTTTGTGCAAATGCTTTGACAACAGCGATTGCTCAGGATCGGGGAGACAACTGAGTATTCATCAAAGGTGCCTTTAGCACGTCGTACTACGAAAATTGCAGCCACACATAGGTCGTTTCAGATGAATCTTGCTTCAAGGCAAGCAATGCTGAAGCAGCACAACAGAACTTTGCTGCAGCTTTTCCTGAAGGCCAACATAACATTGTCACTTCCTACTAGCTCAAGTTTCCCTAAACTCTAAACATCTAGGAACCAAATGAATAGTGCGAGCGCTTCTTCAAGGAAGCTCCCCCCTGCCTTCAGGGCTGCGGGGGGAGCTTCCTTGAAGAAGCGTGAGCTATCCCGCGTCCTAGCTAGTAGCTACTGAAGCTACTAGCGACTCCCTAGCGACTCTCTAGTTTCTACCAGCCACCTACCTACCTAGCTACTTCCTTAGCGGCCTACCCGGTCTTAAAAAAGAAGATGGTTCCGTTTTGACATCTCCAGGATTTGCTTGGGAAGTTCTGGAAGTCTTTTCAGGGCCGCCCAACGTTGCTTGGAATTGCACCCATCCTTGTTATTAGTAGCGATGCACTTGTTACTACTAGTAAGGCACTTGTTACTAGAAGCGATGCACTTGTTACTAGTAGCTTCTTGTTACTACTAGCAAGGCACTTGTTACTAGTAGCGATGCACTTGTTACTAGTAGCCATGAACCCATCCTTCGTTTTTTCTCGTCAACATTCTCAACGTGTTTTTCCTTCTCAGGTCACGTTCAAGTGGAGGCACTTTGGGAAAATGTGTGGCACTTTCAAGGATAAGCAGGGGAAGGACAGCTGGCAGACTTTAGTCTTTAGTAGTAGGTAATATTCGATAGCTTTAGCTGGAAGACAAGTCTCTTGGATTCTCCATTTAAGGCTTCATCCAAATAGACAGCAAAGCTCAACTGCTTTCGTTCCAGGAGCACAAAGGCAATGGCGAGATGCTCAACATAATTGGCCTTTGCATTGCCAAGGCACTGAAGGGAAACAACGGCCGCGTAGTTATATAAGTTTTCCTAAAAATCTAGGAAACAAATCATTAGTGCGTGAGCTATGCTGCGTCCAGTTACTAGCTTAAGTAGCTAGGAGCGAACAAGTTTGTTCCCTACTTAATCCTTGCTAGTAGCAATGGCCTCCAACCTAATAGCGTCCTTGCTACTAGTGGCTTAAGTGAGGCAGGGCCCGGGCCAAGCGGGAAAAAAGACGATGTGAACATCTCAAAGCTGAGACGGCGGCTGGTTTTGGTGTCAGGTCACGGAAGACCTGAAGATCGAATCGGTCGATGTGTACTACAACCCAAATGCATCTCGGCTGAAACAACATCTAGTTACTAGTAGCTTCTTGCTACTAGTAGTAAGGCCAGGAGCCCCTAGTAGCGTCCTTTGCTACTACTTGTTACGGCTATCCCCCGCCCAATGCAGCTTGCAGGACCTGGTAAGACCGCTTGCCACATGAGCTCGGTGGATCTGGCACCTTTGTGCAGCCAAAGCAACGCTGCAAGGACTTCTTGCAAGGACCATTTGAATCCTTTTGGACACACATCCTTTTGGTTTCCAACATCCTTGCTACTAGCAAATAGCTACTAGTAGCGATGGCCTCCACCTAGTAGCGTATTTGTTACCAGTAGCGATGGCCTCCACCAAAGGATCGCACGGGAAGAAAGGTGATGGGATTAAGAAACAAAAGTGTTTGCTATCAGACTGTTCTGCTTGACATCCGCTTGAAGTCCCAGACCCAAGGCAAGCATCAAAAGAAGCACCAAGGGTTTGTAAAATCTCTGTCGTTTTTGTATATATATATATTTATTACGAAAAGAGCTCGTTGTTTCTTGGGGAGTTTTTTTTTGTTTTTTGGTTTCGTTCGGAAAGATCGCTTTTTTTTCTTCAGTTGTTAGAGTCTTGGTGCACCAGACTGAGCGCCTATGCGCTTCAATTCGTAGGATGCAAGAATAGGTTACCAATGGGTGCCTCTGAATCAAATGTGTTTCACCTCCACAAGTGAGTATGCGGCTCGCATTGATGCAGGTCGGCAAAAACTTGCAAAGCTCACACTTGTTCGCTTGTTTTTGTTGAACAGTGCGGAAGTCATTCTCAAGCACACCTCCTCACCTACTACTCTTCTTGCATTGCTGAGTCACAGCGGGTTTGTGTCGAGGTAACAGATGGAGCACTGTGTAAAACCGTCTTTACTTTGCGCTTTTGCTTCTTGAAGCAACAGCTTTGCTTCAAGCTTTGTGTTTAAGTTTGAATTCCACGGCTTTTTTTTTGACCCATTCATCCTTGATATCAAGGTTGGAGGGGTCGCCAGGAATTTCATGGGTCCGGGGCAAGGAAATGTCTGTGTTCCTAGACTGCAGCCACACAAAGCTATACCAGAAGTGCCCTGATTTTGTTCAGGCCGTCTTGCCCAACCGACATGGAAACATCTCCCGACAGCAGGTGTCCCATGTCGACTTTCGACGGACCAAGTGTCGCGGATAAGTCTCACTGCGACCACATTCCGCCTCCGACGCAGCGCCGACGGAGTGCAAAGTCTTATTCCGGTGTCCTATGTCTTGAATGAATCAAAGTGCATGTTGAATGATTGCAACTTGAAAACTGCAATGGCTCGCTATTTTCAAGTCAACTTGGGAGAACATTCCCGATTCAATCTGATTCATGAC